CTCCTTCCAACTTCTGCATTTGGGAACATTCCCTAATTTCATTTGTGAGCTATGCAGGACCTGAGCTGGTGCCAGGTGTCTCGACCACTAACTCACAGTGATGAGGTATACGTCTCTCTGGATCAATGCTATTCACTCATCCTGCTTTCAATCTCTGATGTATATCTTTGGTACATGGTAGGAATAATAATTCCCAGTAAATGGTATGTTGTTGGCAGCTATGTGTACTGCATCCTATACTTGACGTCGAATGGTTTGTAGACTTCTGATGTCATTGTGTTGTTGGTGGGTATTATTTGAATGGAGAAAATAAACTAGTTCATTTTGTAAATTTTTCTTGCTACTGTGATATTATTATGATATTACCACCAGCATCACCAACTTCAGGCTCAGTAGTCGATACTTGTTTGAATGCTTCAAATGAACGTTCTCTGTATTAAGACATTACATCATCAGAGGCAAAGACTAAAAGCAATCTTTTGAGCCTGGGCAACTTTCTGCAGTTGATCTAAAAATCCAAACCATTCAAAAAAGTGTTTTCACACTGCAAATGATCCAAACCATGATCAATTTGATTTGGGCCAATACAACCTCTTTTGGTCGGACTAAATTTTAGTCTCTTGGTCAGCACCTTTAACATCCGTTACTTTAGTTTCAGACTAAACTGAAAAGTTCGAAGGTCTGTACCAAACAAGGTCTGTATAACCACAGAGACCATGACTTCACAAGTCAAAGCCATCAAGGATACAGCTGCCAAACAAAGCATATATCTTAATTATCTCTGTATGTACTAAGCTCTTTAATTACAGTGATATTGACTTTAAAGTAAGAGGTACTCTTTGCAGGTACTCAATAGCCTAATGAGTTGGTATACATGGAATAGGCGAGGCTGCATTTTCAAATGATAATGAAGGAACGTGTCATCCTGTGCAGTAGTGTGGCTCACTGATAATATTACTGATGTTTTGGAAATCAGCTGAGCTCTATGGCAAAGTGATATAAACTATATCTGGCAATTAGAAAACAGCTTGGTTGTTAGGGTCTGTGAATCAAACGTTTCATCAGCTGCCCAATCTTGGACCCAGAGGTAGGTCATATAGATAAAATATCCTTTTGTGATATATTGTATATTATCATATATATGCAATACTGATATAATACAATTGCCGCGCATTCAATTAGGAAACAGGAGGCTTCATGTAGAGCAAAGCGACCACTATCTGCCAGGCTGGTGGGTCAATCTATCTTCAATCTGTGATCCTCATCTCTAAAGTCTCTGTTTTTCCCTCTGCATTGACTCACACATTTGCTGATGATCCCCACCAACATCATGTGGCTACACACAGTCCTTCTCCTGTTTATCCCTCTCCTGAACATGTTATTCCAGACTGCCTGGGGCCTCCCAGTGCCCATCAAGTGTTTTTAAGTTCCATTCTCTGCACCTTCCACTGTTTTCCCACAGCAGTTCACCCTCTCCACGGCACAGTCATGTGCTATGCCTCTCTTCTTGCATCTTCTCCAGTTAACCCTCTGTGAGCAGAAATAGCACTGTGCATTAATCCTGGGTTGAGGCTTTGGGAGATTGTACTGTGACCTGTGGATGTGAGATGCCTTGGAATATCCTGAAGGGATGAATGTGTCAAAAGAGCCGGAGAGTTCAGTGGACATGATTCTGCCCATGCTTCCTGGGTGTGATGTTATCAGCAACAATGTCATTAGAAAGAAAGTGGGGAGGTACCCTATGCAGCATGGGTGAGGTAAAGACTGGAGGTGTAAGGAGGATGTTTAAAAAACAGGACATTTGCTTCATCTTTGCCTTCACGTTAATGTTGCTTTCCATTTATGAAGGTCATACCTGCCATCATTCCCCTATGAGGTGATTTCATTATAACAGTCCAAGGTGTAGGCTAATTGAGCTAAATGGAGAGTGTGACGGTTGCTGAGCCTCATGAGGGCCCTTCATTCTGGGCCACATCTCGAAGGTGTGTGGGGAGGAGCAGCGGCTATCCACTCTCATTCTCAGCCAGCCAACGATCCTGCATTATGGTCCCTGTGAAGTAATTTAGGTAAATGACAAATGATGTGTCCACTCACGCTGATTTAGCTTTACAGATGAATTGTGTGAGATATAATTAATGCAGCACCCTAAATGCTGGGTTTGCATATTCTGATGCCAGAAAATAAATGTTGGTGTTGTTTCTGTAAACAATAGACGATTGGTTAAGCCGATGATCCCATTTATGTTCCATTTTAAATGAGTTGTGCCTTATCAAGAGCCCCATAGTGTGAAATAATGGCATGTTTTATTATTTCCCACGGTGGAAATATTGAAATATGCCAATAGAGAGCTAATCCCTCTGAATAGAAGCTGCAGCACAAATTAAGCATTCTGTTTCCTACTGTGTGCTTTTAGCTTCTAAAAGGGTGGGATCAGCAGATCCTGACAGCCAAACACTTCACAAAATGACTGGGTGAGCTGCTCAGAAGTCAAGAGGGTGAACAAGTGCGGGCTGTTCATTGGTAAACACAGCTCATCACAAAAACACCAGAGACACCACATCTACTTCAGATCAGCCAGAGGGCAAAATCTGACAGAGCATTGTTCTTGTCTAAACATTAAAACTGAAAGTTAAGTTCAGAAGTTGATCAAAAGTCCCATAAAGGGTTTCTTTTTCCATAGAGATGTGACGAGGGGGAGCACCGTGCTGCTGTGATTAGCACTCTTTCAGGTTCAAACTCCAGCTTGATCTTTCTGTGTGGAGTTTACATGTTCTCCCTGTGTCCATGTGGGTTTTCTATGGGCACTCCTCCCACAGTCCAAAGACATGCATATTTGGGTAATAGGTTAATTGGAGACTCAAAATTGTCTCTGAGTGTGAATATGAGTTTGAATGATTGTTTGTCTCTGTATGTCAGTCCAACGATATGCCGACGACCTGTCTGAGGTGAACCCCGCCTCTCGATGCATGTCAGCTGGGATCGGTTCCACCACCTCGCCGTCCTCAAGGATTAAGCGGTACAGATGATTAATGGATAGATTGATGGTTGAAACGAGGAGAAGGTGGAAGGTGTGAGAGTCACAATCTTTTGATTATTCACTCACACCCATTGTACTTTAAAACATGATTAAACACTGATGAAATTTCATAGTAGACAACTTGTTTCCCACTTGTTGGCATTACTCATTATTTAGTCAGAGATAAGATGAGGACCTGCGGGGAAGGACCTGAGAGTGACGTAAAATGTGTGTCCCCAGAGAACCGTCACTTTTAACATGTTAGATGTTGAAAGGTTTGCTTTTTGTTTGCCGTCAGAACCTAGAAATGAGCGTGGTGGAGATGGTCTTTGTGTGCTGTCATCTCTAATTCAGCATCATCGGAAACCCTTGAAGGAACGAGCATCAAACGCAGCTCCAGCAGCTCAAACGACCAGGTGAGATGATGCACGCAGCAGATGGCAGCTGCACAGCAGAGACGCACACACACTTGATTTAGAGGTGGTAACACACATTAATCGCTTGCTCGTACTCCTCCACACTCTTCCTTATAAACACACGGTCTGTTTACTGACTCCAGTGATGTCACAACTTTGTTTCTGCCAATAGAATGATTGATTTTTCTTGAAAAACTCAATGTAGGAGAAAAACAGAGAAATACCAAGTCTACAACAAACAGAGTGAGTAAAGGAATGATAATCTGATTTTAACAGAACACATGTAAGACCTCTGAATAAACCTGTCAGGGAAACAAAGCACACTGACCTGACTATACCCTGAGTGACCAGCCTCTCTGCTCTTTGACTCCCATAGAAAACCAATACAACAGTCCTGCACGAAATCAGGCTTCAATTTGAGAGAAAGGGAGGTAAGAATCATTAGGAGCCACAGAATTGGGCAAATACTTGAAAGTGGCATCTTTTAAAGCTTAACACTTTCCAACCCTCAACTTTTATAAATGAATTCTGGAGAAAGAGCAGAAATTGTCATTTCATTTCCTCTTACAGCATTACTTCAGCTGTCTGATGAAGGACAAGGCTACACAGTAATAACTGCCTTGTATGTCATGGCTGAAGACAAACAAACTACATTAGTAGACAGAGAGATCAAGAATAGTACGTTCTGGTTTCAGCACCTTTCAGAAATTGATTTATTTTAGATTATGACCTGACGTATACTCTGTTCAAGAGCAACAAGAATAATGGCCCTTCTGGACCTGACTGTGCTCAGAAAAAAGGACAGGAGGCCCATGAGTTACAATAAGTTAACATATGAAGACATAACAGTTAAAGTTTTGGGAAGAGATTTGCCCACATTGAAGTTATCTCCACTATATAAGGATTTTATTTAATCTTATTTATTTATATTTTATTGATGATCAATTATGGAGGGAAATGTCTAGTCCTCTGTCAAACCCAGGGTCAGTCTGAAGGGCAAAAAACTGAGAGCATGACATCTGCAATTTGTTAACACAGATTTATCGCCATCTCCATCCTTTTCTTAAACTAAATAGAGTCAAAAAAACATTTTGATTTTGATTTCCTGAGCCTCTGCTGCCTCCTGTAGCCAGATGATCCAAAAAAAAAGCAGATTATCCAGATTGTTCCATAATGTATTCAAATCAATCCATGCATGAATCTGCTGAAACAGCGTATCCGCAGATATACATCAATATATCTCCTTATAATGGAAATGCATCTAATCTGTCTGACAGTCCTGCAGATTTTGTTATGCGCATTTCACGCACCTCATGCATCTTGATGGGGTCTCCACTCAGGTAACGTGTCTGACGAAAGCAACATGGTAACAGAAACATGATCATGTCCACAGCAACGTCCTCATATTTACTGAATGGAGTCAGGACGGATGACACCTGCTTCATGTGTGATGGTTTGCATGTGCAGATCATTTCCCCTGATCACCACCTCATTAAGCGTCAGCCTCACGTCCTCCACTAACAACCACAGAGGTGATGTGACAGACAGACAGGCTGGTGCACACTGACCTGGATCGTGCAGGTGTACTCCGAGTCGTCCAGCAGCCTCACGGTGCAGTTGTATTCCCTGTCCAGACTCCGGATGCTGCTGCTCATCAGTCGGCTCAGCATCTTCTCTGTCGGGACGAGGGCGCACGGTACAAGTTGATCTCCCGTCACGTCAACGGCAACCACGTCCCCGGTATTCGTCTGTGGTGCAACACCTGGTCAGCGGCGGCGGTGGGGCATCCTTTCATCGGCGCGTGTGTGTGTGATGAGTGGCAGAGACACCACACGGTTGTTCAGTCAGTGGAGCAGTGACATGCTGCTGCCGCCGCCCCCTCTCTCCCTCTCTGGTCCGGTTGCTGTCACACCTCACTGCGCCCTCTCCCCCTGTCTCCTCACCGCTGCCGCGCCGCTCTGGGCGCTGCGGGGCGGGCAGGCTCGGTGAATGGCAGCCCCCTCAGCCAACGGAGCAGCAGTGACAGAGACGATGACTTCACACGGTTCAAGAGGGGAGCAGAAATTCCGATAGGCAGGTATCGACCGCGCGTCGTGACCACGCAGGCTCATGGATGGGAATGATAACAAGAGTGCGGCCACTGTAGTTGCATGAGTCAAACAACCAGCAGGCTGCTGCAGGAGTTTAATCATCAAACTGACTGACAACATCAGAAACGTGCTGAAATACAAATGAGGTCTCACATTTACAGGGATAGTTCACCCAAAAATGAAAATTTTCTCATCATCTACTCACCATATGCAGATGGGGGGGTGGGTGAAATGTTGGAGTCCACAAAACCCCTTTGCAGTCTCATGGGTAAACAGCGTTGCAGACAAATCCAATATGACTGAAGAAAATGGTGACCAATTCTTTAAACGTAAAAAACATCAGAACAAAACCTCCATAATGCTCCTGTGGTGTCATCCAAGTGTCCGCAAGCCCAGACATTCAAATTCGACTCGCAACGAGGTCATTGACACTATTTTTGGGTGAACTGTCCTAACAAGCATTTAATGTCATATAGATTACTATAACACATGGTCGTGTCACATTGCTGTACCCACAACTCACAAAGGCTTTTCATTAATTGGTTTAGTTATTACTCATGTTTCCATTGCCATTACTTTTAAATGATGTTTAAAACAGACATGTGTCATTTGTGTAGAACAATGACAGAGCTATGGCAGCTTTTGAAGTGCCAACATTTATATTTTTGAAGATGATTTTACTCTGGAGTCTCTAAAGTCATGAAGGACTTCTCTTGTCCTGTGTAACAGTCCCACCAAATATGTAGCCATGCAAAGCAAACACTACACTCTTTCCATGTGATGGTATCACTGTCACTTTGATAATAATGATGAAATATCAATTACATTTTTCCACATGTAATAAAGTAGATTCTACAGGAACCATGTAGACTAAGTGTTGAACAGAAGTTTGCCACTAGGAATCATTGTGTTAAAAATGTCCTATAGCCTCGTCCTTATTGTCTGTCATACAGCTGATTCTCTCCATTGATACACTAAACAGCCTGCATGAATATAGTTAAGAGACTGATCATTGGAAGTGTAACAGTCAGTCACTAGGAAGCCATAGTGTGCAGCGTCTTTGACTATGTCTCTATCTAGTGGTTCGTAATGGTATTGGAAATGAAGTGATTTAAAAGCTTCCTCATAGTGCCACCATCCAATTAGCTGTCATTGCCTATTCCTCCTCTTTCAGATATTGTTTACCTTTTTTCAGTAAGTTCACTTGTTTGCTAAGCATTTTGCTTACTTGCTTATATATATTTTAATTTTACTTTTAAACATATTCGAAATAAAAACCAGACCTTTCCTGTCTCCTGGTCAACTTAGCAGGCTCTGAGCCTGAATTTGTTTAATGAATGAACTTCCTCTCATGCAGTCACTTGCACTTTATTTGTACCTTGTATCTGGTTGATAATAAAAAGCTAAGTTGCTATAGAAGAAGCAGATTTTCTCCTCCATTCATATGTAATGCATTGTTGGCGCTTTAGTGACCCCTAATGGATGAAGTCACGTACAACCACATGCTTCCAGCAGCTCTCTGGTTGGCTGATTCTGCTGCTGACGTAGCAGCACTTCCCGTTTTGTAACAGAGTCCCCACCTTGTGTTACCAAACACGAGCTGGTGAACGAACACGCGCAGAGCTGTAGCTGTGGAAGGAAGCTGCATTCAAGGTAAAGCTTTTCTCTGTGATCGTGCATTATTGTTGGTTTAACTCGTGCATGTCACTCACTGACAGTGTCACATGTTGGCGTCATTGTTTTGAGTGTGTGTCGGTTAATCTGTGCAGTGTTCATGCAACTGAATCATCTGGTGGGTCTAACACGAAAAGAGACAAGTGATGTCGTGCTGGACGATATTCTATCAAGAGAACATTTTTCATATCAGTTGATATCGATAATAATCACGATCACATTATTGTTTCTTTTCAGTTTAAAGATTTTTGCTCCAGAGTGAAGAGTTTAAATTATTATTTATTAGCAGAGAATGATAAAAAAAGTTTTTACAAATCTAAGGTAGGTCTAGTGTTTTGAGCAAGCTCCTCTTCCTGTATCTCTTATTAAAATGACATAACATGCCTTGCACTGTTCTGTTCACAGGCTCAGCAACATGGCTCATACATGTATTCACTGGTTCCGCAAAGGACTGAGGCTGCACGACAACCCAGCGCTCCTGGCTGCATTGAGGGACTGTAAGCAGCTATACCCTGTGTTCCTCCTGGACCCTCACCTCTATAACGACACACGCATGGGCATCAACTGCTGGAGGTTCCTCCTCGGAGCCCTGAAAGACCTGGACTGCAGCCTGAGGAAGCTCAACTCCAGGTACAAACACTGGGGGGAACCTTCAGAAATATTGAACATGAATTAAATCAAAAGCTGCTAATGTAATTGTAATTATGATATTTTATTATTTTCATAATATGCCATGTTCGACTCCTCCAGGCTGTTTGTCGTGCAAGGCAGACCAGAGGACGTTCTCCCCAAGCTGTTCAACAAGTGGAAAGTAACAAAGCTGACCTATGAGTATGACACTGAGCCCTACAGTCTAGTCCGGGACAAAACAGTGACTGCATTGGCCAAAGAACACGGAGTAGAAGTCATCTACAAAATCTCTCATACCCTTTATGATATAGAGAGGTACTCACTCAATCTTTTTGGGTGGGGGGGGGGTTAAACTATGATATAACATTCAGATGGTGAATATGTATTTTTATCTCTTCTGCAGGATAATCGAGGAAAACAATGGGAAAGCTCCTCTTACTTATAACCGAATGCAGGCAATAGTGAAAACTCTTGGTCCTCCGAAGAAACCCGTCCCTGCACCAACCCTGGAAGACATGGCAGGTGGGCCAAGACCAGAAACACGTGATGATGTCAATCAATCACTGTCTCTGTTGAAATAAGTCAAAAGAATTTGTTCAGATGGAGTTCATCAAAATGTAACTAAGTCTAGATTATCAGCACAGTTTTATTGAAATGTAAATATTTCCTGTGGCACAGAGGTGAAGACCCCTTGCCCAGACAGCCATGAGCAGCAGTATGAGATCCCTGCACTGGAGGAGCTCTGCCCAGATGCTGCAGCTCTGGGAGAGGAGCTGTTTCCAGGAGGAGAACAGGAGGCTCTGAGGAGACTGGATGAACACATGAAACAAACGGTATTTCACTTCCTCCTCTTACTCTGCATGACTTCACATCGTTTTAGTAGTCTTCTATGAAAAGTAAGAATCTTAAGCCACTGTGTCTGTCTGGTCATTTGGGTCCAGACTTTTGCCACAAGGGGTGGCAGCTGGGTAGAGCATGCAGGAGACAGGACATCACATGTTATTGTTTTTATCAACACTGGCGTCGGCCCTGATCACTAACAGCTCTCAGATCTTGTCTTTCTAAGTGGACATCTTTGTCTGTGTGTTTCTTGTGTTAGCCCCCCCTTCCTCACATTCTCTTAGTTTTTTTTAATTCTTCCATTGTGTGTCAGACATCATCAACATCATTTGCACACAGTGAATGTTGCTGACATTTTCCTTCTATTTCCTCATATGGGCACACTCAGACATTTTACATACCCATATCAGCAACACAAATATTTTCATTGAGCTCTGTTGTCACAAACTAAATAACTGTCTGATTATGTTTCTTCTGAATCCATATTTCAGGCATGGGTGTGTAAATTTGAGAAGCCCCAGACGTCTCCAAACTCTCTGAGCCCCAGCACCACTGTTCTCAGTCCGTACGTCACCTTCGGCTGCTTGTCTGCTCGCACCTTCTGGTGGAGGCTGACAGATGTCTATCGGGGGGTGAGTGTCACCATCACTGAAAAGAGTGGTTGATGATGCCGCACAGTCCACGGTCTATAGGGGTATCCTAACTTAAATTAATACATTAATTCGTTTCATGTGTCGTCTTTGCAGAAGAAGCACTCAGATCCTCCAGTGTCCCTGCATGGCCAGTTACTGTGGAGAGAGTTCTTCTACACAGCCAGTGTTGGTATCCCAAACTTCAACAAGATGGTGGGCAACCCTGTCTGTACTCAAATTGACTGGGACACTAACTCTGAATATCTGGCTGCATGGAGAGAGGTATTTGACATTTGAGTCTATTAATGAAAACAAAAAGAGAAAATTGCACAGGAAAAAAGTTAATTGTCATCCTTTCTTTAATCAAATTTCCTGTACTATAAATAGTTCCTCTCGTTGTGTATTTTCCTTAAGGCTCGGACTGGGTTCCCCTTCATTGATGCCATCATGACTCAGCTGAGACAGGAGGGCTGGATCCACCACCTGGCCAGACATGCTGTCGCTTGTTTCCTGACCAGGGGAGATCTGTGGATCAGCTGGGAAGAAGGGCAGAAGGTGTATACATGATCCTGCCTTTATTGCTACACTAGGTTCACTTTTATTGGTGACAAAAAAAAGCCCCCGCAGACCTGATAGCTTTATTCCCACTCGGTCAGAAAATGTCACGTGCTACAGTTGGGTGATGTGGTTGAAATGAACACTGAATGTTATTATATCCAAACTATCACTTAACAACAACATGCAGCATATTTAGAGTTGAAACAATTTTAACTATTAAGGATAAAAACAAATAGAATACAAATGTAAAATCACATTAATCTGGATTAAAGGCTGCTTCACACAAGTGCCTCAGTGAACTTGTACATTTCTGCAGCCCAAAACAACAGCTCTCTATCATAACTGAAGGGGTTTTGGGGCTTCCTCTTTATTTCCTCTATGTGTTTCCAGGTTTTTGAAGAGCTCCTGTTGGATGGCGACTGGGCTCTGAATGCTGGGAACTGGCAGTGGCTCTCAGCCAGTACCTTCTTCCATCAGTACTTCAGGGTCTACTCGCCCGTCGCCTTCGGCAAGAAGACGGACAAAAATGGAGACTACATCAAGTAAGATCAAGTGTATCAAGCTGAAGTAGCCAAAAATGATATCAAGACAAAAATGTTCATACCAGTTGATGTCGATAATCATCAAGATAAATGTCACATTATTATTTATTTTAAGATTAAAGACTTTTTTTTTTTTCTCTGTAGGAAGTACCTTCCTCTTCTAAAGAAGTTCCCAGCTCAGTATATCTATGAGCCTTGGAAAGCTCCTCGCAGTGTCCAGCAGGCAGCAGGATGCATTGTGGGTAAAGA